GTCTTACTCTGACATAGAGCCAAAATTCAGTATAGCTCACAGACACCTGATTCTGAGCATGAGCGAACCCAAAAAGCGGGAGGAGCAGGCCAAAGATCTTCATGGCTTCAGATGTGCAAGGTAACACAGGAAATAGGAAATCCTTTGATCAAACTTTAAAAGGACATTGTGACACTGATAATCCCTTCTATTTCCATGTAGGATAGAACCCAGGCCGTTTAAGCAAAGCTCTTGTTCTCAAAATCCTCAGGCAGGCTTGAGAATCTTGCAGAGAGACAAAGCTATTCTGATATCTAATCTAAATCTCTGACTACATCTCAAGGCTGCTCCCTTTATCACAACCTAAGTGAAAGCGGGGATTAGGACTTTCTTGGCTCAGAACCATGTCTACAGCATGTAACTATTTTAAACAGAAGTATCTACCAGCTTCTCTCCTTTACAAGCTGAGGATAGAGTGTTATGTTTTAGATCTGGTCTTAGTTTTAGAATAAATGGCCATCTACAGTACCAAAAGAGGCAAGCCCTTTAAATCTTCAGACACAAAAGTAGAGAGAAATTTTCTCACATTTGCTTTAAATGTTTTATTTAAAAATTAAAAATGTTATGCTGTTCTCCCTTAAGAAGGGTAACAGCTATTCAGAAGCTAAGTACATTTCCTTCCTGGCAAATTTTAAAACTATAAATACATATTATATACATGTATATGTTATAATATACATATTTATATCATGTATACAATATGCATCATTTTAAGTGCTCATATTCATTATGTAAATAATAACAGTATTAAGTATCACTCTGGAATTTACTTACATATAAGAGTATGTTTCTAAGATTGCTCTGAGTTGACAGTCATGTGGCACTTAATGGCAGGGATACATTCTGAGAAATGCATCATTAGGAGATTTTGTCCCCTGTGAACAAGTGCAGATGGTGCAGCCTGCAACATGCCTGAGCTATGTGGTGGGATGGCCTGTTGCTCTTGGGCTGCACAAATGTGCAGGCAGATGCAGCGCAGTGTACATATCTGACGTATCTAAACGTGGTAAGGTATCGTAAAAATACTGCATTATAATCTTACAGGGCCACTATCATACAGGTGGTCCATTGTTGGCTAAAACGTCATTATTTAGTGCATGACTGCATTATAAAACTTGAACCCATCCAAATGTAAATCTAAGAACTTGTAATCTGGTTGAAAATGAACTTTGAGTTTTGAAAGGAAAATTCAGCAGTTAGGAAAAATGCTTCATATACACATAAAATCATGCTGCTCTCAATCAACAATGACAGTTGCAACAAAAAAAAGTAGCTGGGCCTTGTGGTGGGTGCCTGTAGTCCCAGCTATTGGGCAGCTGAGGCAAGAGAATCACTGAAGCCCAAGAGTTTGAGGTTGCTGTGAGCTATGACACATAGCACTCTACTAAGGGCGACATAGTGAGTCTCTGTCTCAAAAAAAAAGAAAGTAAAAGAAAAGCAGCTTTCAAAACATTTTGAGATACAATTCTAAAATTTCCACTGTATTCTAAAAACAAATATATCTAAAGATTTGTCTGGAAATCATCAACAAAATCTATTAGCAAATTTACTAATTAAGGTCATGTCTATACTTTTACAGAAACATTAAACATTTGTTTATTTGGAGTAATATCTCTTTAGCCAACTTTCATAAATATTGGCTGCATGTCAGGGATGGTGTACTCGAAGTTCGCATGTTTTATGTTTCCTAGTGGTGACCCAGCCCACACAATATTTTTATATAATGGCAGCTGTCCTGAAGCAGAATGTCTTATATATACATTGGAGTTTGATTAATGAGCTAATGGTGGTTCCCTGCTTAAAGTCATTAGCCCTGATGTGGTTTTTAGCTAATGTGTCTCAGAGTTGACAATGATGTGATTATGTTATCCACGTGTTAGGGTGTAGCCAACATGATCACATTGCCTAGGGCAAGGCTTTTTCAACTGAAAATCATAGCTTTTACTAGGTCCTAAATCAATTGAATTAATTTCATTAGTGTTGAATAAAGAAGAGAAACCTACTAGATTTGAATGGCAACAAAATCTTCAATGTACCCTGAACACAATGTGTGTAGATACTAGTTTGTGAAACCTTTGTTTTAACTACGTGTGTGTCCTTGTGTGGCTGCAAAGTCATGCTATAAATCATATTCCTGACTGTGGATTACAAGGAAAGTACTTTGAGAACACTGTGCTTCTTTTAGGTTTTTAATTGTACCTGAAGTTCTAACTTTTCCTTGTGGCTGCTTCCCTTGTTCTCTTGTAAACATAGCCTTCTTACCACTTCTTGGCCAACCCTCTGGGGGAGCTCATCCACCCCCACCAATGGTGTGCAAGGAAGGTCCTCCCTTCTCCAACCTTACCTCCCACTGCTCTTTCCCTCCTGCTCATTCCACAGTGGCCTTCCTGTCCTTGAACATACCTGGTGAACTGGAGCACAGAGCCTTTGCAACGGCTGTTCCCTCTGCCTGAACACCTGCCCCTTGGGTATTCACAAACCTAACTCCCTTTCTTCCTTCAAGTCTTCACACAAATGGTACCTTCTTCCTGAGGCCCACCCTAACCACTTTATTTAAAGTCACAGCCATCCTACCTGTGAACCTCCTTGTTCTGTTCTATTTCTTTCCTCTGTAGCACCAGGGCACCTTCTGTCATACTGTAGGATCTATCATGTGTGTTGCTAGTCTGTCTCCCTCTACTCCATGTAAACTCCAGGAGGCAAGGATTTCTGAATGTTTTGTTAAGCGATACAACTCCAGCAACCAGAACAATTTCTTATGCAGAATAGGTGTCAATAAATATTGTTGAATAATTCAGATTAACCCAAGTCTTGAGAGAGAGAGGAGAGAGCAAGAGAATGAGAGTACACGAGACAGAGAGAGAGAGACCAAACATCAAATACAAATTTACAGGAGGTTCATTTCATTCTTGGGTTATTTCCTATCTTTTATCAAAAACTGCTCACTCTTCCTTGAAGCAGCTATTCCATTTTGCATTTTCTCTTTAGAGAGCCCCTGCTCATCTAGCTTTATTACAGCAAGAGCTTCTACTAACTTCAGGAATCCTTCCCAGAGGAATGAATTGGAAGTTTATGAAATGAGCCTCTGATTACAATTTATAGTCTCAATAGAGCTAATCCAGGCAAAATCCTTAAAACACGTGCTTTCGCTGAACTTATTTAGCCAGCATAGAAAATGAAATGGTAAAAAGGTTAGAAAATAAATCTTGAGGTTGGTTGGTTTATAACATAAAAGTAAAGAAGAAAAGTGACAGGATCAATCCGATGAAGCACGATTTTTTTTTTCCTGAAGTCTCCCAGGTTAGCAAATAAACTGAACTGTGGAATTGGCTCTGCTGCTGAGGCAGGGGGATTATGTACCTGAGATACCTCATTTATTTGTTGCCTAAAAAATTCCAATATACTTAGAAAGAAGGTTCATGCTTGAACATAATACTCTAAAAAATGCAACTTGATCTGGACATTGTTATACAGCATATATGAAATATTTTCTGTTTTCGAAGAGTTAGATTATTATTAAATAAATCATTTCTGGAAAAAAAAATGATTAAAAATCCCTTTTTAGTTGTGCATGGTTACCATAGCAATGTCATTTGTTTACTGGCTTACAGAAGACACATATGATGTCAGAAACAAAGGGGGTGACTTTAAATAGATTAACATCATACAAGTAGCAAGCAAACAAACCACTCGGGAAAGCTCTGCCAGTGGTGTCTAAAGATTTATTATTAGCATTATTTATTTTTAACAGTTTAAGGAGGGGTATTCTGAGCTGAATGTGTGTAATTGCAGACTGGGGGCCGACAAGTCCTTGAAAATCTGAGCTGAAAAGGCTAGTTTCAGATTGGTTTTGCACATTCATGGGAACAGGAATTACAGGTAAAATCATAAATCAATACATGGAAGATACACATTGGTTGAGCCAGAAAAGGCTGTGCATCTCAAGGCAGGGGCTGGTCAGTCACAGGTGAGCCCTAGAGATTCTCTGTCTGCAGCCCTGGAGTCACTGGGAGGGAACTAAGATAAAGAGGTCTTCAATCTTCCATTTGACAGAGCTATACTGGAACCAACTGGAAAGTAAACCACATTAAAACTCCTTTAGTAAGATTTCTTACTTTGTGGGCGTGACTCATCAGTCCTCTTAGAAAGGAATTTGGGTGAGAAAAAAGGTCTTCATCTATTTTTTTTCTATTTCTTTTTGTGAATTTCAGAATATTACAGAGTGGTGTCTAAAGATTTTAATCATTGTTTTAACCTATGTCTAACAGTATTTATTTATTTATTTATTTATTATTTGAGACAGAGTCTCGCTATGTCGCCATTGGTAGAGTGCTGTGGCATCACAGCTCACCAGGCAACCTCAAACTCTTGAGTGAAAGTGATTCTCTTGCCTCCCAAGTAGCTGGGACTACAGGCTCCCACCACAATGCCCAGCTATTTTTTTGGTTGCAGTTGTTTAGCTGGCTCTGGACGGGTTCAAACCTACCACACTTGGGGTATGTGGTTGGTGCCACAACCACTATGCCATGGGCACCAAGCTTAACAGTATTTATTTTAAATACTGTTAGAATTATGTGAAAAATTGAAAGCAATATTTTGCTCTTTTATCCCCAAACGTATGCCTCCCTTGTCCCAATCTTACGGTCTGAGTAATTTGAACATAAATTCAATTGTAAAGCTCCCTTCGAACTCAGTATTTAATTCTGAAACCAGAAAGATTGCACTTCAGTTTGCTCAGCTTTCTTAACTTAAAAAATCTTTCTCTTTTTCTTTTTTTTCTTTTTGAGACACAGTTTCACTTTGTCACCCTGAGTGGAGTGCAATAGTGTCACAGTTCACAGCAACCTCAAACTTTTGGGCTCAAGCAATCCTCTTGCCTCAGCCTCCTCAGTAGCTGGGACTATAGGTGTGTGTCAAAACTCTCACCTAATTTTTCTATTTTTAGTAGAGATGGATTTTACTCTTGCTCAGGCTGGTCTCAAACTCCTGAGCTCAAGCACCACCCACCTTGGCCTCCCAGAGTGCTTGGTTACAGGTGTGAACCACCTCACTCGGCCAATTTTTAAAATCTTAATCCATGTCTTAAGTAAATGGAAATACATCTGGGCAGTTACCATCCACGAGGAAGGTGATGAAGAGTCTGTTTCATTACAGACTTATAACCATTTAGTTAATTTAGTTACAATCTAATTATCATCAAAGCTATGGAACAAATACAGTACTCTTTAAGTATAGGGCTATCAATTTTTATTTTAAATCAATGTTAAATACTTCTTTGATATCTTTAGTTTTTTCCCAACTTCAAAACAAAGGATGGTCACTTTTGTTATAAATTCTTCACCTCTGGTATGATCTTAAAAAGAAATACAGAGTGGGTGTGGTAGCTCACGCCTATAATCCCAACACTTTGGAAAGTCAAAGACAGAGAATTGCTTGAAGCCAGGACTTTGAGATCAGCTTAGGCAACATAATGACAATCCAACTTAAAAATATATACCATGTTTCCCCCAAAATAAGACACTGTCTTACATTTATTTTTTCTCAAGAAGACACACTAGGGCTTATTTTCAGGGGATGTCTTCCTCTCTGTGCTGAAATGCATGGCATGGCTATGCAGCATATAATAAGACTTATCTGAATAGCCAAGCCTATCACTAGGTCTTATTATCAGGGTAGGGCTTATATTTAACAAATGCATAGCAATCCTGCTAAGGCTTATTTTTTGGGTAGGTCTTATTCTTTGGGTAGAAACATGGTATATATCTATATATCTATATATAAAGATACATATATACATATGTATATGTATATATTATTAGCCAAGCATGGTGCTACTTAGACCACTGCATATGATGGGAGGATCACTTGAGCCCAAGTGTCCAAAGCTGTAGTGAGGTCTGAAGCCACTGCACTTCAGCCTGGGCAACAGAGCAAAACCTTGTCTACAAATAAACAAACAAACAAACAAACAGAAATACAGGAGACTCATTTACTCTCCCTACATGTTTTGATAAAGACATAAAATGTGTGCTTCATGTTTATGCTAAAAATAGAGAAATTATATTATTACACACTTTTATTGAAAAACATTCCCAAACAATTAGAACTACTTAGTGAACTGATGAAGACTGTGTTTTCAAGAATGTTGGTTACACTTGCAAGAATAATGTAATTGCCAAAGTCAACATGAAGTTGGCTATTATTCTGTAGAAGTTGCAACACTTCCTGAAAGGGCAGCACTTGACTGGCAGAGATCTCACAGACCACCAAGGCTTGTACGAAAGGTCTTTGTGGGTGGGGGAGGGAGGCTACAGAGCAGCAAAAGGAGGAAGGAGGAGAGAGAGAAGAGGAGAGAAAAGAAAAGAGGAGAACCAAGAGGGTGAAGAGGAGAGAGAAGAGGAGAGAGAAGAGGGTGAAGAGGAAAGAGAGGAGGGTGAAGAGGAGAGAGAAGAGGAGAGAGAGGAGAGAGAAGAGGAGAGAGAGGAGGGTGAAGAGGAGAGAACAAAGAGGAAGAAGAGAAGAGGAGAGAGAGATCAAAAGAAAAGCGTACTCTTATGTAGGTTGGGTCAGGGGAAGTCTCAGAATGGTGACGGATGGTAGAACAGCCAATAAGGAGTTACTGCTGTGGAGGGAAGAGCCGTTAGGGGCAGGCCATAAGTTTGAAATTTTCAGTGGGTTATTGGGACAGGGAGATGAGGCAGGTTTTGCGACAGGGAGATAAGGAGATGTCTGGCAGGCAACTCCCTGTGCGTGGAAAGGAGCTGAGACTGCTAGTCTTGGTCTGTTGAAAGCAGGGAGGGGCTTTCTGGGGAAGAGGCTTTTTCTGGAGCAATTACCTAACACTTCCTCTTTAAATAATCAGTACTATTTATTTTTGCTATTGCGCAAAACATTTGGTGAAACTCACATCACCAGAAAAATGTGTTAATCTTTGGCAATCCATAAACCATATTTAGCAATCACAGTTCCTGTTTTTCAGATGGTTTCTTAGAATGAGTTAATAAGATATTACCAGTTGAAGAACATTTTACTTACATTGAGAAAGCAGCAGATATGAACTACTTTGATGCTGTAATTGTATAACTATCCTTAAGCCTCTTGGGTAAATGTAATCAGGAATTACCAAAAAAGAATTCAACTTTTACTGTTCAGGGACATAGAAGGAAGTCCAGAAGTTAAAATGAAACTAGAAATGGATAGTATTTCCATTGTCAAATTAAAAATATAAACTGAACAATTTTAGAATGTGCAGTAGAAAGAAATGATCTCAGGGCAATTATGGCTAGAGCTTAATTATCAATTTTTATTTTTATTTTTATTTTTATTATTCTTCTTAGCGAGAATTTTTTTTTTTTTTTTTGAGACAGAGCCTCAAGCTGTCCCCCTGGGTAGAGTGCCATGGCATAGTTCACAGCAACCTCCAACTCCTGGGCTCAAGCAAGTCTCCTGCCTCCGCCTCCCAAGTAGCTGGGACCACAGGCGCCCGCCACAACACTCGGCTATTTTTTTTCAGTTGCAGCCATCATTGTTGTTTGGCGGGCCCGGGCTGGATTCGAACCCGCCACCTTAGGTGTATGTGGCTGGCACCTTAACCACTTGAGCCACAGGCGCCCAGCCAGCAAGAATTCTTTATACAAGTCTATATACTACTTTTGAGAGGAGATATCTAAATACAAAATATCCAACATTTTGATTTTTCTCAATTTGTGGACTTGTTAGGAAATACATAGCTTAGAAAAAACCATATATCAAAAGCATTTTGCTGTAGAAACCTTGGATAAGGGAGGAATCCTGTATGTGAGAAATGTTACCCACAAATCCCTTGCTAAGTCATACATAACTTTTTATTTTCTCTCATCCTTTGCTCTTTGATTGTGTGAATATGTATTTTTTTCATGGTTGTTTTCACAGTACGAAGACATTTTTATCTGCTTTTCTCACTTAACGTGGTCATATACATGTCTGCCATCGTGTCCAGAGATTTCCTTGTTAGTGGAGGTGTGTTATTTCACACTGCTGAGGTACCACCCCCTGGGGTGTGATATTTAGATTATTTCAAACTGTTATTATATTGTTTGGATAGGAAGAAAAAGATTTTAGAATAAGAAATGATTTTTAGCATTTAGGTAAGTTGAAAACCCATAGAAAACAGTGCTGTATGTTTTACGTAGTACAAAGATACATACATATTTAAGGGCATGTATCAAGCACATACAAAAGGATGTCCTTAAAATGGACAACACTAAGAAAAGAGAGATGGGAGAAACCAAATGAGAGGGACCAGGCTCACCTGGGCAACGGTCACCATGCCCTGTGAATGCGAGCACAATTAACTCTTTGACCCTTCTCTGAACAATTTCCTTTATCTTTTCTTTTTTAATTGTATAAATATTTTCTTAAGACGGAAACAGTAGTGGTTGGTGTAGAGACTCACTCTAGACCCCTATTGTATTGTCTTCAAGGTAAAGTCCAAGGTACTAAGCTTTGAACACAGAACCGTTGAGGTCTGGTCCTCACAAGACCCTCCAGCTGCAGTTCCCACTGCCTATGGTTCAGCTGTCTTTCCCCCCTCCCCCAGTACTTGTTACTGTGTTCTCAGTGGTGAGGCTACCCTGCTCTGCACAAGTCCCCTTCTTCTCCCTTCTTCCTCGTCCACCACCACAGCCAGGACAACGCTTACCCACCCATCAGGTCTCACTTAGACCATCTCTCCTGAGTTCTTCTGGCCTCCTATAAACCCTCCCTCAAAATAAGTGAGAGGCCTCTAGTCTTCCTATTTATCTAACCAGGTAGTGGAGCCAGTCACCTCCTTGAAGGTATTCACCATTATATCCTCAGAAAATTAACAATGCTTTCCTGAGTACTAATTACACTGAGCACTGCACCTGAAAATTAACTTCAACGATCTCTTTCAGCCCTCCACTGGCCTACGGGTTATTATTATTGTGATCAGGCACATTTTACAGAGGAAGGATGTGGGGTTTAGAGAAGTCACATGTAGTTCAGGCACAAGAATATACTTTGGGCTGAGTAGCTCACATGTGCAATCCCAGCACGCTGGGAGGCTGAAGCAGGTGGATTGCTTGAGCTCAGAAGTTCAAGAACAGCCTGAGCAAGTGTGAGACTCCATCTCTAAAAAATAGCTGGGCAGGCATTGTGGTGGGCGTCTGTATTCCCAGCTATTTAAGAGGCTGAAGCAAGAGGATGGCTTGAGTTCAAGAGTTTGAGGTTGCCGTGAGCTATGACAGAACAGCACTCTACTGTGGGCAAGAAAGTGAGACTGTCTTAAAAAAAAAAAAAAGCAAAAGAATATACTTTGGAGCTTTATCAGAGCAATCCAATCCTCTGCCACCAGCCCCAATTTTAGAGTGGGTGCCTCTCAGCCAGGAAGGCCTCCTTTCCACAAGGTGTGGCCCTCAGCAAACTTCAGTGTGCTTGTCTCACTCCGTGGGAGCCAGGTTTGAAGTTAAAAATCTTTTCAGAAAGTTGAGATGGATTTAGTGCTGAATTTATGTATATTCTTCATCCATTTGTGTGAAAAATAAGACACAAGAACTTGTATTTGCATGGAAAAATTCTGTTAAAATAGAAAAGAAATGACTACCTCATCTATCTTCTTGGTTTCTCCTAAGGTGCTAATTAATAAAAGCTGAATAATTTTGTAAAAGAAAAAAAATAGGCTCGGCGCCTGTGGCTCAAGTGGCTAAGGCGCCAGCCACATACACCTAAGGTGGCGGGTTCGAATCCCCAACCAGGGCCCGCCAAACAACAATGATG